TAATATCCCTAGCACAGTCCTACAGACACTGAGTGCTGATGACGGGTATCCCTAAATGCTACCCAGAAATAGAAAATGTGCATACGTTTCAATTAAAGAGTACACAAATGATTGCCTAATCTGCTGCCCCCATTCATTGAAATCACCCGATTTAAAAGCAGAAATACAGTAGCACACATCCTATTGCGTCACAATATTCTGAACATGCAGGCCAAAAATCTCAGATCCAACAGATTCCAGGCTTGACCTTTTACTGCAAACAAGCTCATTGTGTACTGGAGCGAGCGCCACATGGGGATCTCAAATGGACTGCAGTAGTGAATGCACAATGAGGTCCTCTAACAATACGCATGCTTTAGTTACATTCCAGCGCACAGCGACATTGAAATATGCATGCATTCTACTCCTCGTTACATAACACTCTGCGTACAGGGATTAAAAGTGAATGAAACGAGCAGGGATGGCGTACGGCTCTGCCAAAAGGAGCAAAAACACAAAGACTGGAAGCCGTATTTACCTCTCTGCCGGTGAGGATGTGCCGAGCCAGTTTCACTTTAGCAAAGTTGCCTTTGCCGATGGTTTTAAGCAGCCTGTAGTTCCCGATGTGAGGCTGCTCGTCCGCGCAGGAGGCGATGGAATTCCGGTTTCGTGCTCCAGAACGGCTGGGACGGGTAGGGACCTCTTGTCGTCCATCTCCATGAGACGTATGCTGCAAAAAACAGAGGGAATAAGCCTGTTTAGTAAGGAGCACGTAAGACTATAAACGACTCAACTGAGAAGAATTGTATCTTCTGCTGGTACGTTAGGCATTACTTCAATTTATAGAGAAACCGTCATCAGGTAACACTTCTCAGGCTGCTCACATACCGGGTTTCCACCAAAATAAGACAGACAGTCATATTTTTTTGGGCTCAAAAACACACACTAGGTCTTATTGTCGGGGAAACACAGTACATAAAATGTTTAAAATAAGCACTTACTGATGCTGCCCCTGCTGTATGCCTTTTGTCAGGAATAACCCTATGGCCATCTTCACCCTCTGACACTTCCAGGTATGTCAGGTACAGTAGGTCCTGTATTGGTCCTGATGCCACAAAGGTGAAGTTTCCTACGTACTGCCGCTACACAGCGCACACCAGCTTTATATAATGTGCACAAGCTGGTGAGAATGGACCCTTGCCACTAAACCGAAGGGGGGCAAACTCCGGCCCTCCACCTGTTGTGGAACTACAAATCCCAGGAAACATTGCAAGAGTCTCACAGCCACGACTCCCAGAGACAAATGCATAATGGGATTTGTAGTTTCACCACAGCTGGGGGGCCAGAGCTGCCAAAACCAGACATGAATATCCTTAGATATAGTGGCTGCATTAGGTTTCTTGTATCTATGGAGCAGCAGCATTCCCAATAAGCACTTCAGAACATCTTCCCTCTCAATGTCCAACCTGGAAGGGGGGGGGGTCTGTAGTTACTCTGGTACTCAATGTCAGCAAAGAGTACAAGTGTTATCCACTCACAGGATTTCTGGCAGGATCTGTATTTTTGTGCATTTTTAAGCAGCAAATAAACTCATTGTGCGGGTTTACATGCACTTTAATAGTACAGCACAGTGATTGCGTCTGATTCTCTTATCTCACTGCAGGTCTGCCAGGCAAAAGCCAGTCGGTTAAAAAAAAACAACAACTCTGAAATCTCTAATTATGTTAAACACCCACAGTGTTCTTAATAGCATAAAACCATGTGATCTAGTTAAACCATGTGATTGCATACTATGAATATATTCTATTTATTCACGTGAAGTATGACACATCAATTTACAGGATCATAGACACAACTTATTGGATCAATCGCCTCTGTCCAGAGAATGTGAGGGATGCTAAAGCAGGAAAGTGGACAGACTTTGTATCACAAGGACGGCCAAGACTACAAATAATTTAGAAGGTTTGATGCCAGTTGCAGCCTAGGCCTCATTCCCAAATAGAATTTCACCCAAACCTGCTTTAGAGCATTAAAAAGTGACACTAAACTCGGGAGTTAAATCTTAAAGATAAATTCAAGTACCTTAACTGTTACCATACATGTATCTTATTTGTGTATTTGTAGATCCTCAAATCATCTCTGAATTGGTGCTGACACTGTCCTTCCTTCTGGAGGGGGGCTACCTTTGTTCTCCATGGTCTTTGTGTGTGTTGTAATGTAGTCACCGCTCCAAGCTGTCTCCTGTGATGGACTACAATCTCAATACAAATTAGACTAAACAGGAGATTGTAGTCGATCACAGGAGTGAGCTTGGAGCGGCGGCTACTTCACAAAACACAGAGACCATGGAGAACAAAAGGTAGCCCCCCTCCAGAAGGAAGGACAGTGTCCGCACCAATTCAGAGATGATTTGGGGATCTACGGCCGAGTGATCTACAAAATATGATGCATTTTTAATGCCAAAACCAGACATGAATATCCTTAGATATAGTGGCTGCATTAGGTTTCTTGTATCTATGGAGCAGCAGCATTCCCAATAAGCACTTCAGAACATCTTCCCTCTCAATGTCCAACCTGGAAGGGGGGGGGGTCTGTAGTTACTCTGGTACTCAATGTCAGCAAAGAGTACAAGTGTTATCCACTCACAGGATTTCTGGCAGGATCTGTATTTTTGTGCATTTTTAAGCAGCAAATAAACTCATTGTGCGGGTTTACATGCACTTTAATAGTACAGCACAGTGATTGCGTCTGATTCTCTTATCTCACTGCAGGTCTGCCAGGCAAAAGCCAGTCGGTTAAAAAAAAACAACAACTCTGAAATCTCTAATTATGTTAAACACCCACAGTGTTCTTAATAGCATAAAACCATGTGATCTAGTTAAACCATGTGATTGCATACTATGAATATATTCTATTTATTCACGTGAAGTATGACACATCAATTTACAGGATCATAGACACAACTTATTGGATCAATCGCCTCTGTCCAGAGAATGTGAGGGATGCTAAAGCAGGAAAGTGGACAGACTTTGTATCACAAGGACGGCCAAGACTACAAATAATTTAGAAGGTTTGATGCCAGTTGCAGCCTAGGCCTCATTCCCAAATAGAATTTCACCCAAACCTGCTTTAGAGCATTAAAAAGTGACACTAAACTCGGGAGTTAAATCTTAAAGATAAATTCAAGTACCTTAACTGTTACCATACATGTATCTTATTTGTGTATTTGTAGATCCTCAAATCATCTCTGAATTGGTGCTGACACTGTCCTTCCTTCTGGAGGGGGGCTACCTTTGTTCTCCATGGTCTTTGTGTGTGTTGTAATGTAGTCACCGCTCCAAGCTGTCTCCTGTGATGGACTACAATCTCAATACAAATTAGACTAAACAGGAGATTGTAGTCGATCACAGGAGTGAGCTTGGAGCGGCGGCTACTTCACAAAACACAGAGACCATGGAGAACAAAAGGTAGCCCCCCTCCAGAAGGAAGGACAGTGTCCGCACCAATTCAGAGATGATTTGGGGATCTACGGCCGAGTGATCTACAAAATATGATGCATTTTTATTAATAGTTAAGGTACTTGAATATTTTTAAGATTTAACTCCTGAGTTTAGCGTCACTTTAAACATGAATTCCGACATGCGCACCTAATATTGATTATCTGACTTCTAGAATTTGATATGTCCAACTTTTTTCAGCTTCCTCATGATACCAGTTGAAGGATGTGACCCCTGGCATATAGTGCACGGTAACCTAAACCATGCACGTCTCCCATTGACTCCATTTTGGTCTTCTCCATCCCTGTGGAGCCATCTTGGATCCTAGGCCCAGGCTGTACATGGCAACAAGACTTCTGCTCACGTTGAAATTAAATCACAATGTCAAAGCAAACAAACAAAAAAACAAACAAAACATTAAATACGTCTCTGCAATACACATATTTCCCCATGCGTTATCACTTTAAGCCCTCATTCACACGGATAACGGCCGGCCCGTACAGATCCGTGTTGCGTGCACAGCCGTATCGGGCCGCTCCCGGGAAGGACAGGTGCTGTGTATGCTTAGTACGCAGCAGCCTGTCCTTCTCTATGGGAGAACGCGGCTGTACGCCACCCTACGCTCACCCGACCTGCATGTCCGTGCGGGTGTACGGACTCGTACGCCAACAGAATGGATCCTGTCGGCGTCCGAGCAGGGACACCCGCACAGACGTGCAGTTTGGGTGAGCGTAGGGTGGCGTACGGCCGCGTTCTCCCATAGAGAAGGACAGGCTGCTGTGCTGCGTATAATCACCCGATGCTCTGATATAACAATGGGGGGGGGTTATGAAAACTGGAACAGCAGTGCATGGCAACCAGATTGTTACATTTCAAAGCTTCACTGAACAAACTGGAGATAGACACGGCTTGGTTGCCATGGGCAACTGCTCCAGTTTTGATCAATTTCCCTATATTTTCAGCTCTCAAATCACGTGTTGTCAGCCCTCCTTACTTCTTTTATGATGCATTGCAAGAACACAGATCCCTCCTCATCGCTATACCCCTCCTTGTGCACAGGCAGAAAGCGCAGGACAAATCGGCTCACAAGATTTTAGGGAAAATCCAACAGGTACTTTTTGTACTCAAACAGATGACAAAAAAAAAAAAAAACTTTCAATAGTTTATTCAAACAGACAAGGAGAGGCAATAAGCCTTCACTCACACCTCTGATAAAAAGGTGCTGCAGGTAAATCGCACTGAAAAACGTCTGCGTGCTTTTCTTTAAGTCGCCTGGTGATAGGTTACCGTGCCAGGTGGTGCAATACAACGCACATGCCATGGCTAGGTGCAGTGTGGTGCCATTAAGAAATAATGTAACAAAAGACCACCTAACATTGCAGCATAGGGGCCGGGAGCAGCATCACATAGACAGGGCCGTCCCCATAATGAGGCAGTCACCGGCGCATCTCATTTGGTGGGGCGGCAGAGGGATGGCCAAAGTGTCTCAGGGTGCGAAGAGCTCTTGGCAACCTGTGACGCCCTTTTGGGCCTCCTGCCCAGCTCCCTGATGTCATTGGTTGCCAAGGAGCTGACCCGAATGCTCCGGCTGTTAGGCCAGGTCAGGTCCACTTTGATTGTGCAGATGAGAGCCGATATAGAAATAAGAGGGCAGAGCTAAAGATGTCAGCATTTCACCACATCAAGGATTGTGATAAATTATGCATATACATACAGCACAAGAGAGCCTTTCATCAGACTCATCCTGAAGCAGATGCATTTTTGCAGATCTTACGCGAGGAGCTCCATACAAATGATCATTAAAGATTTGCAAAGAAAAAAAAAAAAACCACTAAAGGTTTTGGGAAGAGATTATTCCCAAAACCTTTAGTGGTTTAACGTATTAAAGTGTTTGAAACCTCAGAGAGGAAAGCGCTTCAACCACAAAAAAACTTACTGACGCTAGGAGTTAAATCTTACCCATCAACATAAATGTATCTTATTTGGGTATCACTCAGTTGTAGATCCTCAGATCATTTCTGGAGGGCCAGTTCACACCACAAAGTCTGCGATGCAGCGCGTTTGGCCTCTGGAACGCAACCCAGCCAGCTCCCAGCGTTCAGGGGCATGGCAGTGCATCGAAGTCAATGACAACGCAGCTACGCCCCCCCACCCGCAAAGCGATTGCCCACACCTGGAACGCAGACATTAGTACCTGCGTTTGGGTCCAGTGCGAACTGCAAAAATAGTGCAT